GTAGGACAAAGTTGTTGCAATTCAAATAGGTGCTGCGTGCTCCGTAGTTTCGGTTCTAATAGTATAACAGTTGTAGAAGTATGGGGTGTTGCACTCGGTCAAAGGAGGTTTTACAAAATTTCTTTTTCAAAAGAAGAGTCGGAACATTGAAGGATTGTCCTGATACATGCAGTTTTGTTGTTGTTGTATTTAATTTCTCGCCGTCGTTCCTCTAACTACAAAAAAAAAATCTAATAAGCTAAACGTAATATTTAAGCTGGCGTAGTTATTTCTTCTCCGGGAACTTTTGCGACTTTTCAATTGGCCGTTTTTGGAAAAAAGACTCCATCAAAATAAAAACATTGGCTTGGTGCCCATTATAACAGATATTTCAACTGCGATTGTTCTTTGTTTGTATGAAGGGATAAAAAATTGCATGTTTGTAAAAATTGGGATAATGAACGCGGAATGAATTTCATCTTAATAAAAAGGCAAGCAGCAAAATAAATCTAAGCGTACGGGGAAAATTAACTCAAATGAACGCGGAATGCATTTCATCTTAACAAAAAGGTTAGCGGCAAATTAACTCTAAGCGTACGCGGCAAATTAACTTTAAGCGCAAAAGCGTAAAACGCAAATTATGATATATTTAAATGGAATTACGGTCTGTATTTAGACAACCGCTATTTCATACTCGTCAGTGAGCAAAAGAAAACACTGTTTTAGCCAATCCGAATCGACATGGGATGCAAGTTTGTGAAATAAATATTTTTTCAAATTTTTCCTTGTCTCGGTTCTGATTTGCTTACAAATAGTATTTGTCTGCTTAATGACGAGTCTGAATACGCCTTGTCTAAATACTGCTACGCAAACATTTAAATATTGTCACTTTCAACATTAAGTAGCTGGTAATTCCTTTTCACTGGTTTTTTATTTGGAGATTATAAAGAAAACAAAACGAAAAATTCGAAATAATGGTCGTTTTTGTTGAAGCTTTGATCAAAAACTTATAACTCAAAACTGCCCGGGGTGGCGTCCATAGGAGAAAAATGCTTATCATGCAGTTTCATATATGAAGAATTCATACAAAATTTTAAAAGTGTTTTAAAAATTTTTAATGAACATTTTTAGTCTAATTGCCTCTTTTGAAGCTTTCTGGTCATTAAAAAAATGATAAAAAATGTTTGATAAAAAATGCTTATCATACAATTTTCATGTCTGAAAATTATAAGATAGTAATTTTGTCATTGATAAAATATTACTTTGTTGTAGCTAATTCTAAATTAAAACTATTAAAAAGAATATGGAATTAAGATGAATTAGTCGTTAAGTTAAAACATTAAAACAATGAGAGATCATTCTCTCCGCCGGAGAGAATGGCCAATGAAGGTCATGTCAGAGTGACCAGTTAAATAAACTAATATGTTTTGCAGTAATTGCAAAACATGATGTAAATCACAACATTCCCCTAAGCAGGAAAAAAATTTTAAATTACGAATAAAATAAAGCACAATGACTAACTAAGTCTGACTCCTTTCTCCCCCTTTAAGGACTAGGAAAAGAAAAAATTAAGCGCCGTAAATAAGGAACTGACACTAACTGAAGCGCCTCTATGTGATTAAATTCAATAACTATAACTGAGAAATGATTATCTGGATTCCGACGGATAAGGGCTGGGTTTAAGAGGTTAGAATGCGAAGAAGTTGTCGCCAAGTTTTATGGGTGAATCAATGATTTGCGAAACACAAACTATAGAGAAGTCAGCTTAGAGAAATTATAAGAGCACCAGATGATGTTTTCCTTTACTGATGGTTTATCCGAAGGATTTGATAGAGTACTCAAGATTACTGAAGAACATTTTGATACCTGAAGATTAGCACCGGTTTATAGGGTAATATGTGCTCCTTGATATGCCAATATAACAGAATTAGGGTAAAGCAAAATGTTTACAAAGATTTATAATCATTTAGAAAGTTTCAAGTTCGTTATTAAAAAATTCACTATCTAGATCAGAATGATCTCCAAAATTTTCTAATTCCATCCTCAGCGATTCGTCCGTTGATGAGGTTGACATTTGGTCTGAAGATGTTGGACTTGAGTCTAGAACAATTAACTCCGCCGGAGTCGTCTTGTTGTCGGTCTCGTGTGATTCCTCAATTTCAATCACGATAGGATCGGTCGCCGAACCGGAGGCTTCTTGAATGTTTTCTACGGCATCAATAAAATAACTTTTGCCATAAAATTTTGGTGGGCCGACATTTCTACTAGAACGGCGGATGGTAGGAGGAATTTTACCAGATATGATAGTAGGATTGGGAGGTACAGTGCACTCGTCAGTTGAGTCGTTTATCTCGTAGACCGGGAAATCTGTAACAGAGTTGTTGTCCGTTGGATTACACTCGTCTTGCAGGTCCTGTTGTTCAATGGTGTCTTTGTCCCCTCCCTGGTTCACTGTTCTCTGTTCCGCAGTACTAGGTGTTCGGCCAGCGGGTATTATGCTTATTGGGCACTCGTAAGATTATTCCATAGGTTGTTCTATGTTAGGATCAATGTCGTTTTCTAAAATCTCAGATTTTATTTCAGGATTTGTTATAGCGGAATTAGAATTTTTTTTCGATTGAGAGGTGAGGTGTATTTGAGTCTGAAATAAAGCGTTCTCTGGCTACGTCTCTACAAGGAAAACCGCCCGCTATCCATTCCCATTCGCTAGTAAGCGAAATATCCGAAGGAATTAGCATAGATTCATCCGAAGCAAGGTAACCTGGTGGAGTTGAAGACTTCTTTGCGTGGCGTGTTTGTCTTGTAGATTTGTGAGATGACCCTGATATGAGTGTCCTAGTTAAGTTGTCCTAGTTAAGTTGTCGGAAGGGGTCGGATCCAACTGTCTAGTCATTTTTTTGGTTGGCTTTTTTGATCTTGGTTTCCGTGTTGGGCCTTCCTGTTTCTGACCTACTTCAACATTAGCATTAGGAAAATACGGGAATGAAATGTTTCCTTTAAAAGGTCTGATTTTATTTGAGGTAGAAATCGGAATAGCAATGTCGGATTTTTGTATTATTTTTCCGTCGGATAACTCTACTGTCGAAGTGGATGAATTTATAATTCTTTTATTTAGTTCCTTATAGAAATAGTCTCGGTTTATGTTACCGTTAGATTGCCGAAGGATTTTACCTTTGAATGGACTTTTGATTAGTTGTCTATTGGAGGTGATTTTCGAGGAAGAAGCATAGTCTGTGTCGTAGCCTTTTTCAGTCGGGATCTGGTTCTTCTTGGCTATCAAATTGTCCTTGTAGCCGTCCTCTAGTCTATCATCCGCATTCCAATCCTTATCTCGTTCCTTAGACAGTATTGATTTCCCTTTGTCTAAAATTCCAAAGGAGGGTTTACCAGAAGCTAATTGTTTCCAAATAGTATTTGGTTTTCGGTTATAGTGAATCTCGAATGGTGAACATATAATTTTTGATTGATAGGTAGAGCGTAAATTCCAGATGATTTTTGAAACGGCATTTTGCAGTGTACATTTATGATGTTCTTTTGAAATAGCCAGTAGTTTGACTTTCACAGTGTGTACTAGTTTTTCGACTAATCCGTTGGAACGATGGTCGCCTACTGTACAAAAGATTATTTTGATGTTGTTGGAATCGCAGAATAATTTAAAGTCTTGGCTTGTAAAGCAGGTAGCATGATCAACCCTTATAGAATAAGGTA